CTGGGCCCTTCCCCATGTGTTCCCTTCACATGGGATGGGCTCTCAAAGTCCCTTCTTACACCAGGGAAAAATGCTAATCCACTTCCAGAAACTTCAGTCTTGTACTGGCCTCCCAGACAGCATCTGGGGTCGATGTGCTCCCCCTTGTTCAGGCCAACTGTTTCTGTGGGTTTCTCCAACCTGGTACAGACCCCTTCGATCGAAGACTAGATTATTAAAATTTGCCAGGGAACAAATTCAGAATAAATCATCAATAATGATAGAATCACTGAAAAACTTTAAAGTTTACTCCTAACACTAAAAACTAAAGGGGAAATGGGGAACCAAATTAAGCCAGGACAACTCTACAAGAATAACTTTTATAAGGAATTCACAGTCAGATGGCAGTTCACACCTTTAATCCTACAAGTTGGGAGGCAGAGACAGGCATATAAGAATTACAGTGATTAAAATTACAAGCCACTTGCAAAAGAGAGATTGAAATTTAAAGGGAATGTTCTTTCTGATCTAAAAATAAGTACACTTAAGCCTTGAATAAATTTATATATAAAGAGGAAGGTAAATATAGGAATATTTATCTACACATACTAAGGTATATTTAGTTTCAAAATTTCAAAGAAATTTTTAAAATTGAAGATAATACTTTTACTGTTGCCAAAAACCATTTTGCTATAGGAAAGATAAAACCTGCCAAAAAAGGAACTTCCCAGAGTTAGGGTTGGGGCAGGGTTTTGCTTTAACAATCCAGAGACCACTGTACAAATGAAACTTCTGAAGAAAAAAGGACCAATCATCAAGAGAAAATATCCCCCCAAAAGAGTAAATTGGCCAAGTGGTGTCACCCATCTCCAGTTGACAGGCCTGAAATCCTGGCATGTAGCCCCAGAATAGGGCTGGCACCCATACCACCATCTTGTCCAAGTGGCTGTCCCTTCCCACTGGACAACCACCCATTGTTGACTACTGTGTTCTACCTAGCCAAGATTGTCACTAGGTGACACACACCATGCAGAGATCAGCTTTGGACTACAAACTGCTCAGGATAGTCAAAGTGATGAGTTCATATGAAACTGACATGAACATTTTACAGAACTTTGAGTTCAAAAATACTTAATCTTAAGACAGCAAAATATAGCCAACATAGACATTATAGAAGGTTTGGCAGAAATAGTTACATTATTGTTTTACTATAGTAGTTACATAATAGTTTTACTATGCTAGAGTTAAAACTTTTCTTTTTATTAGGCAAAAAGTGAGATAGGCTGCAAGATATTTGATCACACTGTGAACCTCAAAATTGCATTATTTACTGGGAAAGCATGCTTCTAGCTATGGTGTGGCTCAGTACTATTACACAAGTTTAATCTAAGAGCTTTCTGCTTGAATACTGTAAACAGGATTAAATAAAATCAACCATAGGTCAAGAGTCAGAGCAAGCAACCAGTTGATGGGGGAATAAACATAGTAAGAGAAAATCAAGAGGACAGGAAGCAGAAGGGAGGGACATCCAGTTGGAGGAGTTTTTGTCTGAGACAGAAAGCTCTTTTTGGGATGATGGTGAAGGAGGAAACAGCTGAGTATTTTCTCTGCCTTATTGGTAAAATAAAATGGTAGAGACTAAATTAAAAACAACAGCACTGGCTAACCAATTGTTGTCTTCTTCTGGGGAAAAGACTACTTCCCCTGTTCTCAGCATTCCTTATCTGCCTATGGCTCTTTGTGTATCCTAATTAGTAGGATGTAAACATTAAAAGCTAAAAACAAAAAGTAGTAGATTTTTGGTCAATTCTTTTTCTTTTCGGGTGAATGGCCATTTTCATTTAGATATTTCAAGTTTTCACTATTTTTTGTTAAGTCAAGCTTGCATGACATCTTACTGTTTTTGTTTGTTTTTATTTTTTAATTTCCAGGGTCAGTTTTTTTTTAGTTGACAATGATTGTAGAGGTAATTGCTGAAACATATAAGATTTATAGGTAAAACTCTGGGTCTCATAATCAGGAAACCTTCCTGTACATCTACAAATGGTTTGATGACAGGAGAAGGGAGAAGTGAGCTGAAAGACAGTAGAAAAGTCAGGTTAGCAGTAAGAATATGTAGACTGAACTCAGCCCTAGCAAGACAGCAAGGGAGATGATCCTTTTTTTCCCCATTTTTTTAAGTTAAATAAGAAACAAGATTGTTTTACGTGTCAATCTCAGTTCCCTCTCCCTCCCATACTCCCCTGTTGGCCACTAACACCCTATCTATCCTATACCCTTTCTACTTCCCAGGGAGGGTAAGACCTTCCATGGGGGGTCTTAAGAGTCTGTCATATCCTTTGGGACAGGGCCTAGGCCCTCCCCAGTGTTTTTGGCTGGGGCAGTATCTCTATGTGGAATGGGCTCCCAAAGTCCATTCCTATGCTAGGGATGAGAACTGATCTATTACAAGAAGCCGCATAGATTTCCAAGGCCTCCTCACTGACACCAACGTTCATGGGGTCTGGATAAGTCCCATGCTGGTTTCCCAGCTAGCAATCTGGGGAGCATGAACTCCCCCTTGTTCAGGTCAGCTATTTCTGTGGGTTGCAACAGCCTGGTCTTGACCACTTTGATCATTACTCCTCCTCAGCAACTGGATTCCTGTTCAGTTCAGTGTTTAGCTGTGGGTGTCTGCTTCTGCTTCCATCAGCAGCTGGGTGAAGGCTCTAGGATGGCATATAAGGTAGTCAAAAATCTCATTATCAGGGGAGAGGGTAGGCATGGAGGGCAGCCTCTCCTCTGTTGCTTAGATTGTTAGTTGGTGTCATCCTTGTAGATCTCCAGACATTTCCCTAGTGCCTGATTTCCCTTCAAACCCATAATAGCTCCCTCTATTATGGTATCTCTTATCTTTGTCTCCTCTATTCTTCCCTGACTCAACCTTCCTGCTCCCTCATGTTCTCCTCTCCTCCTTCTCCCCTTCTCTTTCTCCTAACTTCCTCTCCCCTTCCCCCACGCTCCCAACTTGCTCAGGAGATCGTGTCCTTTTCCCCTTCTCCAGGGGACCATGTATGTCTCTCTTGGAGTCCTCCTTGTTTCCTAGCTTCTCTGGTGGTGTGTACTGTAGGATGGTAATCCTTTGTTCTGTGTCTAAAATCCATAGATGAGAGACAATGTTTGTCTTTTTGTGACTGGGTTACCTCTCTCAGAATGGTTTCTTCTAGTGCCATCCATTTGCTTGCAAATTTCAAGATTCCATTGTTTATTTTTTTCCCCTGCTGAGTACTCCATTGTGTAAATATACTACATTTTCTCTATCCATTCTTCAGTTGAGGAGCCCATAGGCCACAGGGTGTCTGGCACACTTCTCCATTTCAGCAGGAACCCTTCAGGACTGTTTTGGATATAGGATCAGTTGGGCCATTGCTTCAGTGGGTCTTGCTTGATCAAACCATATTAGTCTGGAAGGAATTCACAGCTTTTCATTTTCTGTGAAAACACAAGCAAGAAATCTTTTCCCAAGTAGTCTGTCCTTAGACTTCAATTTTGAAGTCAAAGCATTTTTAAATGTATAAGTTGGATTAATTTAGCAGCATTGATAATCAAATGCATTGTAGCAGCTTTTGCTCTGTCCTTGGCAATCAA